TTCCTAATCTAAATTCAATTAGTTGCAGCGTTTAAAATTCCGCCACGTTATAATTTAATCCAAAGAGAATATTATCAATCGACAGGACACCTTTCCTGCTCAATATTGTTATTAACCTTTTGCAAACGTATATTTACAAATTCTAACAAAAAAAATCAACAACAACGAGAAAAAACATGATTCTGAACATTCCTGTCGCTGTCAATGTTGTTATTTTTAAGCAATTACATAGTTATTTATTGCAAAAGTTATGAAACTTTGTAATTCCTTTTCAAATGTCATGTTTTATGGTTGACGAAGGTTCGGTTTCGGTTTTTTATCGGATCGGACTGCTTTACATTTCAAATTATTTCATCAAACAGCAATCATTTAATTATTGGTTTCGCATCAAATCAAAAGATTTCAATTCAATTTGTTGCAATATTACATAAACAATGATTTTTATTTGAAAACGAATGATTTTATTTCTATTATTCAAAACAATAATTTCATTGTTTTACTTTAATGAAAGTAGAACTATTCTTAAAAATTGGTTTACAATTGAAAAAAAAAATACAATTTTATACAAAGAAATACAAATTTTCAATAACATTAATTTTCAATCTCAGAGTACAAGTAGAAATACTTATGTAATAAGATAGACTCAAAACATTTTGTAACAAATAATTTCTGTTTTAACAGTATTTTTGTAATCATAACAAAAAAAGTTATGGTTTTGTCACTAAATATTTTAATTAATATTCCAGAAGTATAATAATCGTTTATCTATAAAATATGTGCGAAGAGAAACAAAATATAAGTCAGAAGGTAACTTTACCTAAATCCTCAAGGGCAAAAACATAAAGCTAACTGCAAGGGTTGTTGCAGTTAACATTAAGCGTACGATTTAGAAGATCGTTATCAGCTACATCTTCTCGTTTTTCTTCATCTTCTTTTCCATTTACACTATTATAAGGGATGAAATCCCTGCATACATATTAGGAAACTGGTCTTGCAGCTTGTCAATCTCACCATATTTTCGTGCACGTCATTGTCCTTTTTGGCGAAAAAGATTTCTGGTCGTGTTTTATGACTTCCACGTAATAAATTTCCTTTCTTTGTGTCAGATTTGGGGTGTGATTTCGTATTTTTGTTCCTCTCTTATCGTCGTGTGTGCTTCGTGCGGCACATCACAATGCATTTCGAGTTATTTATTTTTTCTCTTATTGTTCCGTTTCCGTTCGTCCCTGACGAAAACGGAACAGCATTTTGAATTATATATATGTGTGTATGTATGTATACACACCTGTCTGCAAAAACTTGTTCACCAACGGAAATTTCGTGTATTCAAACTCGAAACAATTCAATCTTATAAACGTATTCACTCTTAGTTTTATCTAAATAAATTACGAAAGCAATAATAACCGTGCATGTAATTTTGTGGATAATGCAGTTTTGATGGAAAGAATTTGTATGCGTAATGCAATAACCATTGAAGAACGGTTACGCTGCAGATGAATCATACGGGTAATGGGTGTTTTGGATGTGTGCGATTGCGTAGATCTGAATATAAAAATAATGGGATGGAGTGAAACGATGATCCGAAATTGATATGGGATCATCGTTTTGATGATAAATAAATTGAGAAATGCGGTTTCGTACTGTTCCTTTCTTATAATTATAGGTTGTTTGCTTATGGAGCGGAGTGCTCGAGGTCTGCTGCTGTTGCTATTGCTATTGCATGGGTGTCGGGTTTTGAAAGGGACATTATGATTTTGAAATGGTTCTCTCTGACTCGGGCACCTCAAGAGCCGGAGATGATGGTTGGCGTTTTACTGTTGTTGTTGTTGTTTCTGTTGTTGGAGTGACTGAGATGTTGCCCATAGATATATGCATTATGTGCAAACATGAAATGAGCGAAAACCTATATTAAACACGACCTCTGAGAGAATTTATAAATTGAAATGGTATGTGTTTGTGTGTTTGTGTGTGCAGAATATTGCGATATTGGTGTTGTTGACCTCGCGGGTGGTGCTTCGCGGGGTTCTTCGGCCTCGCGTTGGCCGATGCATCGTAGGTGTGCAATATACAGTGAAACTTCTTCTAAAGGCGACCATTTCACTAAAATCATCAATTACGAAAATTGCGAGACTTTATTGAAACACGTACAGCCGAGTGTCAGGATCGTATAGATAATTTCTGGAATTCATAGCCATTGAATGTTAACCCTAAGACGATTTGTAAAATCTACAAAGATATTTTGATGTGTTAGAATTTATTGCAATACATAACAAAATTTAAATAATTTCTATGTAAATTTATGTTATGGTGCATAAAGAAATAAATGTACTTTTATTCGATTAATTAAAATTGATTGAAGAGTCAAGATAATTCCAGATTTCATGGTCATATGTGTAAACATTACATGGTTTTGAATTTATTTGCAATTAATTACAAGTTTATATAAACATACATTATTTCTGGATTATATAATCATTGCATGTAATTGTGCAGAAATAAATAAGTTGATTTTAATTTATTCGATGGAATTAATTGAAATACATTAGAAAAGTTAAGAAACAACAATCACTTGAAGTAAAAATAGATAAATTCAGATTTCCTAATCACTTAATTTTTGGTTTATAAATATTTGATTGTGATAATATTACTTACACTGAATCTGTATAGTCTATATACAATTGTATTTTATTTTATTTTATTAATGAGTGTTAAATTTGTTACAGAACTCGGACTAATGGCTCCGAGCACCAGGTCAAAGACACAATGATGATGCCCTCCCGGTCGACGCCGAACCTGCAGACGACGGCCCAGGAGAGAAGCGGCAAGTTCTACTACGAAACAACGACGACGAGGGATGAAGATTCTCCTCCTCCAGCACCGCCGGTCCGTGATTCCTCCAGCCTCCGCAGCGTCAAATATGGACCCGGTCACGAGAAGTTCCCATCGTGGCCGGTTCCGTCGGCCGCCGAGACGCCACAAGCTCTGCGTGTCCCGCCGAGCGGCGGTTCGCACCGCTCCAAGTCTTGGACTGACCACACAAATTATCCTAAAGAGAAGGTCGTGACCTACACCCGACCCTACATGAAGCGACAACATTCCTCGCATACTCAACAGGTAACTTATCAATTATTAAAGCCTCGCCTCGCCTCGCTTCGCCTCCTCCTCGTCTTCTTCTTCTTCTTATTCAACTACTTTAAAACCACCTTTTTGCAGAAACTCAAAACTGTATTGGAGAAATGCGAGAAGATTCCGCCAGAGGTGTACGAGTCTCGGTACGAGGGCAGACTATACCTGCCGCACGTGGACCGCGACGGAAAGCAGCTCGGAGACATGGATTACATGGTGCCATCGCCCCCGGAGAGGGACACCTGCAAACCGCAACTCACGCAGGCCGACCTGGAGGAGTACGCCAGGTCCTACCAGGACCCATCCATACAGGATAAGACTCACCTGCCGGAAACTACCGGTCTGGAGGAGTTCATCAAGTATGCAAGAAACTACGAGGCCTCGCTCTATCCGCAGAAAACTGAGGAGACGATGCTGATGCATCTGCACCAGAAGCAGCTGTCCTATGCACAGAGCGAAGGCTATCACAGCTACGTGTCCAGCACTGATTCAACTTCGACCCCGTTCCTGGATAGACTCAGGAGGGACAGCGAAGCCACCCGACACAATTCGTCCAACTGGGAGGACGAAACTGATAATAGCCGGAGAGAAGGAAGAGACAGCGTCGTAACAACAAGTTCTGGAAGCGCTTCCTCCAGCGAAACCCTCAAATGGCACGGCTCCATGAGCGACGTGTCCGTGGCCAGTTCCTCTTGCACCCATCTCGCCTCCAATAAGCAACTGATCGCTCATAGCGCCAGGGTGCAGACGCCTCAAAGGCATCACTCAGAGAGTGTCCTCTACATGGGAGGCGAACCGCAAGAGGGCTGGAAAGACAGGGAATCCAGAAACAACAACACCAACAAATTGAAACTATTCCCAGTCAACACGTACACAGTTCCAGAGCAACAGAGCCCCACGATCAGGTAACATTCAATTTAACTTTAATTGATGATCGTGCAAGTAAAACTGTTTATTTTTGCAGGCCGACCACGAACTCGTTATCAGTTGCGGACAGGATAAGCGAGTTGGAAAAGCAACAAAAGTTCTCCTATTTGGATCCGGAGAAGAAGCACAAGATTCCAGATCCCACACTGAAAGCTATACAAAAGAAAGCGCTTCTTTCGTTCTACGAGCGTCATCAGACTTCCAGCAAAAACAGCTGGCGCTCCGAGCCACAGCTCGCCCAAAGTCTTCAACCAGTTCCTCAGCCTCCGCCAAGATTCAAAGTTCAAGTACCATCTCGACGGGCATCCTCCGCCTCAGATTACGCTTCTAACAATAACTCGAAACGCAGTAGCGTCGCATCGATTTCCAAGAGTACCGAACACAACCAGAAGCTAATGCCGCGACACCAGCACAGCAACTCCTGCGGAAGTTTATCCACCGATCTCCTTGGACCGGTCATCGTCGGGCCATCGATATCAGTCGACGATTGGGTTCCGGAAAAGCCTCCGGATCGACCTCCGAAAAATCCGCATCTCAGAACCGCCTATCCGGACTTATTCACAGATCGAAGGGTTCCCAGCCCAGATCTACCGCCACCCTCGCCTCCTACAGTCTTAGAAGATGAAGTCTTCCACAACGACGATCCGCTGCCACCACCGCCCACCGAACTGGAAACCTCTGATTGGCAACATGAGTTCCATGATCGCTTAAGCAAAAGCACGGATGAACTGAAGCAAACCGTCGGGCTTCCTAGTCCTTCGAAAGCGTACTCTAGCACACGATATCCTTCCGGGAATCGTTTAACGTTGAACGGAAACGTGGCTGTGAGCCAAAAGGTATCGGATCAGTACAGAGCGGAACCCTTGAGGGCTCAACCATTGCACAAGGAGACTTCGAGGAGGTCTTTGCCTGCAGAAATCACAAGGAACCCGCAGAGGTCTTCAATAGCCGAAGGAACGATCAGAGAGGCTCCTCCTCCACTACAACCCAGGCAGATGAGGATCAATCAGAGCATGAGAGCTCGCATCACCGAGAACAGACCTGCTGGTATAGCTTTAAGGATGTCTCCTCCAAAAGACGATAAACTAAAGGACTCCAAAGTTGCCTTGGGATATTCCATGTAAGTGCTAATATTATTTAATTAATCGTATACATAAATCTTAAAAACAGAATTAAATTTAAATTTGAATCTGCGCATTATCCGTTGCCTATATACAACTTTTAGTATATTTGGTTGCCTACTTCATTTTTATGAACGCTTATATTTTTATTGAAAATTCAATAATCCTTATTTATTAATATATAATATACAGGAAATACATTCATTGTAAAAATAAATCAAAACTAAATTACAACAAAAGGAACATTCAAAATGTTTCAAAATTATTATGTTAATGCATTCATAGTCATTACATATTCATTTAAATTATAGTTATTTCTAATTGTAATATGGGTAATTACATTAGAAATGATTGTATTAAATCAAGGAAAAACATATATATTTATACGCAATATCTTAAAGGATATTTAACAATCACTTTTGCAAATGTAAGTTTATTTAATTGCTAATTTAATAGTAACGTGATTGAGGGTTTACTCTGAAAATATAAATATTTGTATTATTGCTTCAACTAAAGAACATTATAAATATAAATTGGTAATTCTTGATGGATTTTAATTTCTATTAAGACTGTTCTTAAGAGACAATGACCATGTTGTAAACAATGCGTTTCGTAACATTATTTCTCTATATTTTTAATACAAAAGCGGTAAATCGAAAATAAACCGTTTACAAAAAAAATGTAAGGTCCGAAACGTCGTTGTCTCGGGCCGCTTGCTACAGACCATTGGGAGCGATAAACCCGAGTTCTTTCTGTTCATAATTATACACGTCTGAGGGGAATACATAACGAATACAGAGCAAATAAAAAGGTATAGGACGGAAAAAAACGGAGAGGAACAAATGCAGAGCAATTCTATAAAAGGTGTTCCGGTTTTTGAGCACCGGATGTGGAACACCTGAGCCGAAACGGCTCTCCGGCGAAAGATAACAAATTTACGGATATGCAAAAAGGAAATTATGCCAACACGCGAACCCAGCGCACCGAAAAAAAAAACGAAGCAAAAATTACAATTGGAAGAGAAGAGAATGAGTAACAGCAGTAGCAGTGGAGACAATGCGAGTAGTAAAAAAGCACAGTTAGTTCAAAGAGCAAAAATCTATCATTATAAAACGAAACGGTGTGGCATTCATTTGGTAATTAGGGTAAGAAAGTATCGGTGGTTCTCTTTGCACAATGCGTATCGAATGTCGTTTCTAGTCCAAGCAACGGCCTTTGATGAAATTACCAAACTTAACGAAACAACAACTAATAAAAAGAAACGATAAATGATTGTATCGCTTTAGCTGCTGTGGATGTATAAAAATAATAATCTGCGGGAAATACGCATCGTCTGTACGCGTTTCCACTCGATCGGAAACAATGAAGAGATCTACAGGAAGGAAGAACTTTATTGTTGTGAAGGAAACGCGCATCGTCTTTCACTGACACCGATTACAAAAAAATAATTATTATTAGAAATTGACTCGTTTCGTGGGCGAAAAGATAGATCGTCCGCGGATGGACGTGGTCCGTTGCGTCGGACGTGATAAATATTTACAGATCGCATCTTCTCCTTCAATCGTCCATAAAGTCTTTTCTTTTTCTTCTGATTTTGGCCTGAAACCTTCCTCTTCGTATATTCGATCGGATCTTTTGCAACCAGAGGACAAATCGAACCTTCGATTTTATTATGTGGGTTATATCGATCGATCAAATTGCGTACAGACGAATTGGAACTGCTTTTATCGCGATCGTGAAACTGTCGGGGGCGTTTTTACAAATGGGAATGCGTTGTCCTTGTTTCCGACAGATATATTAGCTGCGTAACAATAGTAATTAAGTTGCTCAAGATTTGTTCTTGGTTCACGGTTCTGCTTGAATCACGATATTCGAACCAGTCACTCACTCACAAATACTTTACCTTTATTTCTTCTGTCCAGTTTCACCTCGGGCAGGTCATTCCATTTAACAAATATTACAAACAAAATCATTCACAATACATCATGAAACAACAACAAAAGGATATAGACTATCAAATTGTCTAACTTAAAACTATAATTTACATTCATTGGAATAAATGGAAATCAGTACAAATTTTTTGTAAAAAAAAAATTAAGAATTTATTTTCTTGAAAATTTAATGAAAAATTGAATGATTAATTTTTGATCAGAATTCATTTGTATATAATGGGAATTCTTTTTAGTTCGACAAATGTGTAACAATGATTCCTCGTTTTTGCCTTGCATTATTCATAATCGTCGCCTTTGTGAAACCATTCAAAAATATTTATTCATCGATTCTCTGGGAAATTCTCAATTTGTTTACACGGTACAAGAACATTGCCACCGGACCTGACTGAAATTATTTAATACATTTAGACTATCAATTACATAATTCGCACGCCTCTGACTCATAGATGTTAACTTACAATTTCATTTTCCTATACTTTTGACGCACACTACATATATAAAATTTACGTGCGATTTCAATATTTTTTTAATATTTAATATTTAGATTTTCATTTACTAAATTTGATTTTTTTTAGTTAGCAATAGTTTTTAACTTTACAAATTTTCATATATTTCTAGCGCATAATTTCAATCAATTTCATAACCAAAATGTGAATATTAATATTGAAATTATCTATAAGTATTTTTATTGAAAATTCAATAATCCTTATTTATTAATATATAATATACAGGAAATACATTAATTGTAAAAATAAATGAAAACTAAATTACAAAAAGAGGAACATTCAAAATGTTTCAAAATAATTATGTTAATGCATTCATAGTCATTACATATTCATCTAAATTATAGTTACTTCTAATTGTAATATGGGTAATTACATTAGAAACGATAGTATTAAATCAATGAAAAACATATGTATTTGTACGCAATATCTTAAAAGATATTTAACAATCACTTTTGCAAATGTAAGTTTATTTAATAGTAACGTTTACAAATTTTCATATATTTCTAGCGCATAATTTCAATCAATTTCATAACCAAAATGTGAATATTAATATTGAAATTATCTATAAGTAAATTTGTTTTCATGAAAGTGAATTTACGTTTTTTTTTAGTGCCAAACGTGTGGCGATTTCAATCACTTTCTTATTGTTGAATAAACTTCACGAAGAACCGTATATTAACAACGAATTAATATTCAGGTTATCTTTGTGTAGATTTGTATTGGATATTTGTATTCTCGAAAGTGAATAAGCTTATGTTAATAAGCGATCGAGAGAGCCGCACGAATATGAACCAAAGAGCATGTTTATAGCAATAAATAATCCACCAGTATATATATACGTGTATTCGATTGTTACGAATCCGCATTGTTCCTCGCTCTTTGTCTTTTCAATGAATATCAATAATTTATCGTCGATGTGAACATACACGAACAAAACAGTAAAAAAAAATCCTGCGGATAATTCAAATAATTGTTAATTTCATGCAGGCACCTGCTTCAAATGTTAAACTATCCATCGGGACGATTGTCTTTGTGGATCGTCTTTTGTGTTCGTTCCTCTTAGTTTTGTTTGTTATTTGTATTATTTACCGTTGAGGAGGACACGTTTCGTTTGAGCTTCCAAACGATTTCCGCCATGCAATTACCTGCTAAAACTGACGCGTTTATACAGTTAAAATTTGATGGAAACACACGTACCAGAACCGTCCGATGTCTCCTCCGTTCGAGAGAGTCCATCCAAAACGGTGAGCAACCTCAATTACCATCTTATACTTCACTATTAATTCCTCACTGTTTCTATACTTTGATCTACAGTTCTTTTACAGTAAAATACAGATTTGTGGACTAAATTCAAACCAACTAATTCTGAAATAATGCAGTTCAATATTCAACAACATTTGCTCTATTCTTCAAACAAATATGATTATAAATCTTCAATATTGTATTTTTCATGCGTTACAAGAAAAAAAATGAAAAATTCATTAAGCAGAAACGTCGTTCCGAGAAGCAAAATCCATTTCAAATTAAATTAAACTTTTTGTTGTAGTTGTTCATCCTCCACTGTATTTCCAAGATCAATTAATTAATCAAAAAAATAATCCTCGATCTCGTTTTCTCATTATCTCAAAAATGCATGCATCTCCTCAACGAGAAACGAATTTCAAAACGAAATTAGAAAGTGTTTTTTTTATTTATTTTGTGAGACTGCTGTTTGCTTCTGGAATAATTAATTTCGTGTTATTTTTCTGTCTTGGCGCCGGTTTCAGCGGAAATCGTATTATTAAAATTTAATTATAAAATAATATATTGATAGAGAAAGAAAAAAAAAACGATAAATATATAAATTGTTGAGATTGGAATCTGTGTCAATAAAATGGAGAGTATTTCTCACGTTCGGAATTTATACAAGTTTTAAAACTCGATTTTTGTAGCTCATTTTATTAAACGTTTGTTATCAGTGTATGATATTATTTGTTAAACAAATATTTTGATTAGGACTAAAATGAATGATAAACTTGTATAAATATATTAAATTCAATATTGATGCATTCAAATTACAGTTAAAAGATTTCCAATCATTCAATTTCCTTGTAACAGTAATCAAAAGTCTTTGTTTCAATGATTGATTGTTGAAATGTTGTTGATTTCTCTATAATTTGCTGCAGCGTTTAATGGTGATGAGCGAGTCAGATGTCACGCTAACATAATTACCTGACGATTTTCGTTTCGAAGATTTCAAAGATTGATCGAAACGAGCCGTGACCATAACCTTGGGATAATTGGATCAAATAATGGTAAATTGTCGGTGTGACGACGTAACTGTTTACGTTTCCGATGATTTCCAAAGAAAACATAGAAACCGAACCGTTCTTCGAATCGGATCCAATAGGAAATTATATGTACATTGCAAATATCCTTATTCAATATTGATAAACGAAATATTTAATTTATTATTACATAATTTGTGAAAATCATACGAAATATCAAATATCTAATTTCATATCGAAAAGGTTTTGCAAATATTACCTAAATTTCGGTATTC